CATATAACTTGGGTATAAAATAGCTCAATTAGACTTCTTAAATAGGTGGCAACCCTATCCAAGATATTTCCAAACTACTACCTTCTTAAACCTCTTTTATATGACACCCATATAGCGATACCTTATTCACTTGCCAAATTCCTTTACATAATTAAAATTGAATAATTTTTTTTTACATGTGGCAACCCTCCTATACATAGTTAAGTTATAAAACCTTTTCAAAACCATTTCGATTGCTACCCATATTTAATAATTGATTTAACTTATTAATTAATTTGAGCTCAATTTCTTAACAGGTGGAAACTTTTTTCGAAAAAGTAAAACCTTCTTGAACATCCACACCCTAAGCCCTTTAATTTGGTACCTCAGTTTTGAAAATCGAACGGAGGGTGCGGATCTGAGGGCATTGATTAGTAAATAACTTGAGTAAAATTATTTAACAGGTGGCAACCCCTTTCGAAAAAATTAAACCAGTTTGCACATCTACAGGCCAAGCGCTCATGATCCACTGATCGGATCTTAACCAGATTAGTATGGGACCACCTCTGAGGTACTACCTTTCCGATGCAAAAAGAATTATCGGTTGACGTGGTCCAAAGTTATGCGGTAAGATACATAAAAAAAATATTCCGACGAACTGATAACCTCCTCCTTTTTTGGAAGTCGGTTAAAAATGCAAATCATCTCTTGCCATGCTAATTCAAAAATTCAAAATAAAACTTTGAAAAACGGTTGCATTCCTTCATTTTAGGTAAAAATTACATAGGAATATATGAGGGTCCAGCCAGACCTATGTGTTACGAATGTGATGTATTAATCAACATCTCTATATATCTAGCTTTATATATATGATACCAACACGATTTTTTACAGATTGGTAATTCACTAAACTTTAGTAAGCTACCTGAAATTTCAAGCCTCTAGCTATATTTAAAGTACCCTTTTTTGTAATTTGAAAAGGGAAAAGGCCTGGCTGGACTCATGTGTCAGACGAAGGGTTAAAGTCGACAAATAGGTGGTGAGTGTCGATCTTTTTCTCGCGGGTCTTTTCGAAGATTTGGCGTATTGTAAATACCTGGTCTATGGTGGATTTTCCAGGTCTAAAGCCACACTGATAAGGCCCAATCAGTTCATTGACGGTGGGCTTCAGTCTTTCACACAATACGCTCGATAATACCTTGTAACCTATGCTTAGAAGGCTGATCCCGCGGTAGTTGGCGCGAATGGCGGGGTCACCTTTCTTGTAGATTGGCCAGAGCATACTTAAATTCCAGTCGTCGGGCATGCGTTAATCTGACCATATTCTGCAAAAGAGTTGATGCATGCACCTTATCAACTCCTCGCCGCCGTACTTGAATAGCTCAGCTGGCAGGCTGTCAGCTCCAGCAGCTTTGTTGTTTTTCAGCCGCCTTATTGCTATACGTACCTCGTCATAGTCAGGCGGTGGAACGTCGACTCCGTCATCGTCGACTGCGGGCTCGGGTTCTTCTTCTCCACAACTTTCCGTGCTGCTACCATTTAGTAGGGCGGAAGTGTTCCCTCCATAATTCAAGTACGCTCTGGACATCAGTTACTAGGTCGCCATTATTGTTCTTACAGGAATACGCCCCGGTCTTAAAACCTTCCGTAAGTCGCCTAACTCTCTGGTAAAATTTTCGGGCATTCTTCCTGTCGGCCAGCATTTCAAGCTCTTCGCACTCACGTATTTCGACCTCTCTCTTATTGCGGCAAATACGTCTCGCTTCCCTCTTCAGATCCCTATAGCGGTCCCACATAGCGCGCGTTGCGTCCGATCGCAGAGTGGACCTGTAGGCGGCATCATTTTTATCTGCAGCTTCCTGACACTCCTCATCGTACCAGTTGTTCTTTCGGGCTCGCTGAAATCCGACTACTTCTTCGGCGGCGGTACTTAATGAGCGGGAAATGTGGTTCCACTGCTCGCATATGTCGGTTTGTTGAAGTGTGCTCTCCGAGAGCAGGTGTGAGAGTCGAGTAGCGAAAGCGCTGCTGTCTGTTGTGATTGCAGCTTTTCGACGTTAAGCTTTCCTTGCATATTTGGGCGCACATTTTTTGCTGCACAGAGGCGGGTGTGCGTATCTTGGCTGCAACAAGATAGTGGTCCGAGTCCAGCCCGTTTTAAATTTGAATTATTATTAAAATAAATTTGGGTTATTGTTCGCTTACATTTCGGTCAATCGCGCAATTCCATTATTAAAGAAGTATCGAAATAAAACCAATTTTGTATATTTTTGAATACGGTTTCAGCGAGTGCGCCCCAAGGACACAGGTATAAACGCTTAAAATAATTATGTGTTAAGTCAAATTGGTTTTTTCTTAATGCAGTTGTGTGTTTTGTGGATCAAATCCTTTGTTGGACTATTCGGGGACTCAGGTATAATACCTTGTGAATTCTATAATAACACACTTTTCACTTAATATGTAAAAAAGCATATTGTAAATTACTTCTTGTTACAGATGGGAAACATGTAGATGAAATTGACGACCAAGTCGAACCGGACTTGCTGTATGATGATAGTTGCACGGATAAAATAATAAGTGTTTACAATAATATATGTTGGTTGACTGTGCATTTTAGAAACGAAATTATTTTTTAAATCGTCAGAATAAGAAAACCCCTCCATATAATCGTCAGATTATGGAACAGGACGACCAGGTCATCGGGATGAACCTTCTGTATGAAAATCTGACGCGCTCGAGTAAATCCAAATGCCGTTTTTTTTGCATCTTCAAGAAGCACCACGAGCTTCCGTCACATCTGAATCTTCAGATTATTGAATGGGAGGCCCATTTAATATCCCTTGTGAATATTTGACGCGCTCGAGTAAATTTTTTTGTCACCCATTTTTGACCCTTCCGTACGCCCAACCCCACCATGCAAATCAATATCTGACGCGCTTAAGTAAATCCATGTACATACCTGTTTTTTTTTTTTTTTTGGAAGCCTGTAGATCCTTACCACCACTGGAAGGAAAAACATCACATGACCTTTTTTTCTTCCCATCCATTATATAATCTTCGAAATCCAATAAGTCAAAATGACGCTCGAGTAAATCCCGATTTAGCAATTTTTAAAACATGTTATAAAATTTATACATACTTTGATTTTAGTACAAGTATTACAATTCTAAATGTGTTGTTTTATTTGTTTCAATAAGTATTGATTAAAGTTTTTTTTACCTATTTTTCGTAAATCGTCATAAAAACAAAATATTATACTCTATTAAAATATTACTTTCAAATTTTATTTGCTTAATAATATATGTAGAAATCTTGTTTTTTAATTCGATTTCCTATATTCTTCAATATAAACTCAATAGTTTTGAATTCATGAAGATAAAGAGCATTTATGAATCCATACATACATACATCCATAAAGACTGTTAGTTTTAAATTTGTTTATCATATTTTAGATAAATATGTACATATTCAATATACTAGATCGTATCACTATATATGTACAATAGGGTGGTCCTTAAACGTAGGGAGCAAATTTTTACATCAGATTTCCTAAGCCTCAACCTCTACGTCGATGCTACTATAGTCGAAGATATCACATATAAATTTTTAAGACGTGTCGCACAAGGGGCAAAATTAATTTTTTTGGTCTAATACCCAAAATCTATGCTATCGTTACCGAAGGTATTACATATAAATTTTGGTCCCGATTGAATTCGGTTAAGGCTTGGAGCACAGGGGACGAAGTTCAGATTACCCTATGACGACGTCTTAGCGGTCTTCAATCGGGACTAAAATTTATATGTGATATCCTCGACTTTAGTAGTATCACCTTAATCGGCTCAAATCGGGACCCAAATTTATATGTAATATCTTCGTTATGGTAGTACTGTTTTTGGGTATTATATGAAAAAAAATAATAATTTTAATTTTTTGAGTCTCCATAGAAGAATCTGAGGAGAGACTCGGCCAAACACTAACATATGTGTAAGCGCCGATCTATTATTATTATTATTATAAAAGAATCTGAGCCTTTCACCATATGCGACACGCCTTAACCGTCTCCAATAGGGACCAAGATTTATATGTGATATCTATGATAGTGGTGTTACCGATTGAAAAGTCATTCATTTGAGTTTTAAGGACCACCTAATGTACATACATACATAGTATGTATGGGGACTAAAAAAATAAAATATATTATTCCATTTGAAAATTATGTATGTATTAATTTGAGTTTGCTATGATAGAGCACATTAGGGGTATTCCCAAAGTATGCAAAACCCTTTTCTAATGGGTAAACTTTGCAACCCGTGCACGAGTTTTGCAAGACTTAGAGTACACCCCCATTATGTAATGTAGAAAAAACCTTTACAACGCCTAGTATTCGTAAAAATTTTAAGTATAAAATCGTTGTCGCTTGTACAGTGTGGTTAAAAAGTTTACATCGTTACCCTCAACGCACAAGGTCCTATATAAAAAATTTGAAACTCGAAAAACTTTTTAAATACCACGTATATGGAACTGCTCTAAAGATGAAAATAAATCTCATATGTTTTAAGATATGGATTTAAATTTCGGTGTAGGTGTGTATGTGAAAGTCAACTAACGGAATGTTTAGAAAACCATGTTTCCGAAATTTTTAAATACGACCTTTTGCTTTGATGATCACGATATGTATATTCTAGAAAAACTCCCTTGTGAGTGTCTAATGTTTACCTAGATCATGATTTAATTTTTTCGACACCAACACCAGGAAAAATTAAATACAGAAATTCAATTACCAGCTGATTATTTTCGGTTTTATGTTTTTAATTATTATTTAATGTGCATAAGTTTGCCTTTAATTATTCTTAAGATTATATTTAATACATAAGTTCTAAGTACAATCTTATACTAAAAACCTAATTTTATCATTGAGATTAACTAATTTAATGTGATTTTTTTCGCAGCGTACATATATATCGCTCGTTTACTAGTAAAGTGCCTTACAAGTTTGTGTTTTTAACAATGTTTTTGGCCTAAATTCTGCTCTTAATCTTTGTTTAAGCACTATAAACTGGAAACAATCTGATAATTTTTTAACGAATTTTCGTCATCTCTCGTTGATTTGGAGTCAAATTGATTTCGGCACTTTGTCACATTGGTCTAAACAAAAAATTGAACTAAGATGATACAGGACCGAAGACAGTTTGGGATCAAATTAAATTTGACAGTGGATGACAGCGATTCGCCACAATAAACAAATATCTTATCCTGTCGGAGACAGCAAACAAAAAGAAAAAACTTCGCTATGACTAAGATAAGGACCATAATCTCGCATTTTTAGTAATATATTTAATATTTAAGTAATCTCCCTTGGATTTTCTAGCAAACGAGCTTAATGTATTTATGCCAAATAATAAGTTAATATGAAGTTGTTATAATACTTGCGAAACAAACAACTTTGAACAATCTCTTTCGTGGTAACTTTATACAAAAAAGGCCTTTTAAATAAAATGATAAAACGCAACTAAAATGAAGCCTAAAGTATGGGTGCATTCGAAAACGTCCAAAATACTAAGTATTCGTTTTTTTTTTCTTTTTAAGCCTCGGCAGATTGTAATGCCAAATGTGCGCAACCACGATTAATCATAATTTTCAACTAGGTTTAGAAATAAAATAGACTGATTCTTTGTTTTTTGACGTTTTCGAATGCGCCCTCAATTCTTCAATTTTAAAACTTTGCATTGCATTAATACTACTAACGTTAGTCAACGTTACTATGTGATTAATTTCATCATGTTAAGTAATTATATAGTTACAGTCCATATGGAGCCCCCTAATTTCGTGCAAATTTCAAATACATATATATACGTAGCTACTTAAGCATGCATAGTTAGGTTAGTTAGAAGAATATTGTTATTGCAATGGTTACATACTATGTCTACTGCCGTTTGCAAAACCTTTACAGGTTTATGTATGTGGATCAGTAACTTTGACGTACACGAGAGTTGGGCCGATTATGTCGTCGCTTATGCAAATACAGACCTGCCGCTTGCGCAAACGCCGAACCACATATTTTACAAACATAACGTTTGATAGCGTCATGTATTTGTTTGTGATTTTGTAGATTTTTAAGCGATTTAAATGATTTGCCGCAAATTTCGCATTTAAACTCTTCATCGCTGTAGTGCTGCCGGGCATGTTCCATCATAGAGTGACGCGCAGTAAATAAACGCCCACAATGTGGGTAATCACAACGGTATGAACGATCGCTTGCGTTTGTGTGTTGTGCACGATGAGAATTGAGATAAACCATATTCGCAAATGATTTCCCACAGATGTCACATGAATAGCATCCATCATAGTCGTTATTTTCCATTTTCATCAGAGAATTACCGTCTTCACTACCCAAAGGCGGAATGTTAGCCAATGAAGGCAGTAATAATTCATCATTATGCCTTCGCATATGTTCATCGTACACTTCTTTGGTACGAAAACTGGCCGTGCATAAATCACACCAATATTTGACTTCTTTATGTGTCGGTGCATGTATTTGTTTGTGTTGATTTAGCTGATCGACATCTGAAAAGCTAACAGGACAAACGTTACATGCATAACTACCTTCAGGCTGATGAGTGCTAAGGTGAACTTCTAATTCTCGTGGCGATTGCACTATTACTGGACAAAAATCACATTTGAATGGCGCGATATCAGCATCCATAAAAAGCATTTGATCATAGTAGGTGTAGCTGGGTACAAATACTTTATTATTTTGCTCGCAGAGCAGACGTTCCTGTTTTTGCTTGGAGTAGTCGAAACGTAATTGCGAAATACGCTTTGATATTTGTATGGTGGATACGTCAATCATCTTTTGCAATTCAGTTGCCATTTGCTGCAACGCCTCTCCGCGCTTTTCCTTACTGCGATAATCGATGTTGTATTTGTTATAAAAGCATGGATACTGCTCAACCATTGATAACAGTTTAGTAGTAGAAACATCATTCCACAATGCAGAGTAGCGACGTCTGTATACAGTCTCCTGAAACAATAATTAAAAGTGATGGGAATAGTTTTCCTCATACATACATGCATCACAGCTGTAAAGAATTGCAATCAATTTGGATGGCAATCGAAAAATTTACTTTACATTTTATATTTCTTGTAAATGATAGTAAATTGTAATTTTTACCGTCATTGATATAGAAGATACAGAAGAGTAAAATCAAATGTGCCTGTCATTTGATATGTTCATTGGACAATTTAAATGTTGTTGTTGTTGTAGCAGCATACAAGCTCCCCAAAGAGTTTTTGGGGAGTGTTGCTGGAGTGACAGTCCTTGGCCAAATATAAATCTGGGTCGTTCCGGTTACGTAGACCCGACTGTTGTAATGCATTAATGGTATTTAAAGCAATAATGTTAATGTAAAATGTTAATGCATTAATTTATGAAATTTAATGCAAATGAATATTTCATTGCATTAATTCTGAAAAATGTAATGCTAATGAAATTTTTTTTCCATTAAATTATCCAAGCTAATGTTAATGAAAAATTTTTAATGCACTAAAATGTTTAATACCTTTGCTCGTTTTCATTATTAAAAACCATTAAATTTTTTTCTAGTGAAATATAAATAACCTCTTTTGGAAGGACTTGGACTAATTAATAATAGTTTTTTCAGCTTCATTATATTTATGTGTATTTGTAGAAAAATTCTTATAAACATTGTTAGCCATTTTATGAAAATAAAAACCAATGTGCATGCAACTCAGGGTGCTTTTGTAGATTTTTATGTTGATTGTTGATGCATACCGATTACATATATTATGAGCCAAAAACGGACAGATAGCCAATTTAGCAGCGCATGTACACGACTGAGGACCTACTCTGATCTAAATTAATCAATAAGCCGTTTTTTGGTTCCATTTGCCAATGTGTTTTTACATATTTAACGACAAATGCCATTGAACTTGACATAGTGAAAACCAGCCTTAACGTCAGCAAAGAATTATTACTTCAAAATTAAATTAGTTAATGGGTTTTTAATGCTTATTATAATTTTGATGCAATAAAATATTGCAATAGCATTCATTTAAACATTTTAATGTTAATACAAAAAAAAAATCATTAGCACTATTTCTTCGGAATTAATGCATTGAAATTTTCATTTACATTAAATATCAAAAATTACTGCATTAATTTCTTCCATTTACATTAAAATGCTATGCATTTAAATTACGCCCACTTTCCACTTTCAAAAAAACGCGTAAAAACGTATGGTGCGTTGCTTTAAAACGTTGCACGTTGGATTTTGTATTCTAGCAGCTGAAGGAACGTATACTAAAAATTTGAGACTTGTGCTCGCGATTTAAAAATAAAAAAAAATTTCACAAAAAAATTCGAAGATTCAGAGAATTGCCCATATACATAGGATTGCGAATGATTCTCTAGCGCCGAGCCGTTGAAGGGCTCTGGGCAAATAAACGTGAAACAAATATTAGTATCGATATCGTATTAAGTCCCATCAATATTCTTATTAAGTCCCATCAAAAAACATCTTGTGGTTTAAAGAATAAAGGGAATGGTCCATTATACTAAAGCCAGCCTTCCGACATAACAAATGTTTCCGAAATCTTTAAGAGCATTGGAAATTTGTCAAGATTCTTTTAAGAATCTTAATTTCAAAAACAATTGAATCCAAACGAGTTATATAAATTTTAGTCACTGTGACTGGTGTGACAAGTACGCAAACCAAATTAGCTACTTTTAATATTTTTATTGAGCTTTGTACTACGATTTTTTATAGGAAAAATTGAAAAAGCAACAAAGTCTAAGCGGTAGAAGTTATAGCACTATTTCGGAGAGCCACAATAACATTGACAAATTAGCTACTACCTTCTTGTATAATAGTATTTCTGTTGATTACGTCTTCTGCTTATGGTGCTAAATAGTTCGTTGTATAGTTAAATAAACGTTTTAAACATTTACGCCAAAGTAAGCTTACTTCTATTAGCAATTATAGATTGTATGTTCCAAATTCAACTGTGACGGGTGTGACTTGACTTTGTGACGGGTGTGACAAGTTGAGCATGAATAAACAAATACACAGTATTCTTAACTAACTTTATTTCTCAAAAAATCAGATTTTACGAACACATAAAATATTCTGCCGCCTAAAGACGGGATAATCCTTGATCGGACTCTTCATCTCCATTGCCTGTCAGAGTCATTGTAAGGTATCTTATTTTTAAATAGTACTCGGGGTAGCCAACTCATTTTCGATAATTCTACGATCTCGACAATGAAATCCCCGATTTTGTCCAAAATTTCGTAAAATTCCCCACCTATAGGTATCTCCTTATTTACAAAAAAAAAATTATGTGTTTTGGCATATTGGTGGTCTTTCTGTTTATTTTATTTTTAAATGTAATTCATCTACATATGTATTCATAAACCAAACCAAACGTTTATAAAGTTAGTTAACAATTTTCAGAATTATTTTTTTTTTTTTTAATTTGAGTTATTTTTTTTTCATCTGGTTCATTCTTTAACAAAACCCATATAAATCCAAGTTTCAAACTTTGTGCAATATTACAAACTTTCGTGAAATTTTCGAGCTTTTTAATTCGATTTTCCAGAAAAATTTTGTAGCCCACTCAATCTAAGAAAAAGCAAGTTTCAAGTGGCTAAAAATTTTCGTTTTAGAATTTTTTTCCTAAGGTGTTGCGCTTTACTTTAAGGGTGGGTAACTCTGTAAATTTTGGTGTGCTGACTCAGTAACTCCAACCCACTTTAATGAGTCAGCACAGAGAGCTGGCACAAGTGTGCTATCGCACAATTGGTATGTGCATCGAAATTATTGACGATGTTAGTAATCGAAATCGATTTGGAAAAGGTTATCCTTAGCTTCTATTCGTAGCTGGTCGGCAAAATTTTAGAAAGCTGATTTCAACTGGTGAGTTCATTTGCGAATAAATTCCCTACTTAGTTTTGCTTGAGAGTTGTCACATAAGAATCTGTTAAATGGGCTATGCACGTAAGCGGTTACCCAACGCATAGCACTTCACATGTATAATTCGGTTTGGTTTTGACTTTTACGTAAAATGGGTATAGCAGTGCAAGTATGCATAACTGGGTTATTCGCCTTGCTTGTTAAATTTGGTAGTCGTATATTCAACTGATGGTAAGTCTCGTGATGCCATCTATTATGGTACTTTTTGGAAGATCGTATTGTGTGAATGAATGGGTCAGCTCATCAATTGAGTTACCACATCGACACAGTTCTAAACAATGCAGCCGAACCGAGCTATGCAAGTGTCAGCACATCAACTGAGTTACCATATCGACAGTGAAGCACACCGACTGAGTTACAAATATTTTCAGAGGTGAGTCTGAGCGTGCGGCACATTTCTAAGAGTCAGCACAGTAACTCAGCACAGTGCTGAGTTACCCACCTCTACTTTACTTCCATATAAAAATAAATGGTTTATTCGCTATATGAAAGCCAATGTGACAAGGAAAATTCCAAAAAAATCAACGGTAATTTGCATAATTGCAGGGTTGCATAATCAGTACTTTTAGTTGCAGTTGCATTTCTTATGCAACTTTTTTAACTCATTATGAAATTAGTGAAGCAAAAAATAAAAAAAAGCTAACACCTAATTCCTCACAAGGAACAGCTCAACCCCCGATTTCCCATGTAAACTGAAATTCCCAACAAAAAACGGCTCTTTTCCCAGATTCCCCACGCAATCTGAAATTCCCGGCAAATCGGGGAAGTCCCCACGAATT